TTTATATAAAGTATATATATTTTAATATATTTTTTTATAATAAATTTATTTATAATTTTTTGCTCTGGACCCATAATAGTTCCCATTTTCTAGTTAATAATAATGTTAGCAATTTTTGTCAAGATAAAATAGTTTCAAGTTTGTATAAAACATGAAACAGTTTATATTATTAAGATAGTTTTATTTATTAATAGAAATATTGGAATTCATGCAAAATATTAATTATATATCTTTCAATCCAATAAGTTGTTATATTGTTTTGATGTAATATAATGAGATAAAGTATAATTAGTAATTTGTAAATTATAGATCTTTTGATAAAATAAATTGATTTTGATTTTTTATAATATAAAGTTAAATAAGAACTAATAGTTAGTCAAAAGATTGCAATTGTTAATTTGACACTAGTTATTATTAACAAAAAAACAAAAACTCTGAAAAAATAAAATACTGTTTCTTGATATGTATATAGATATTTAAGAAAAAGAATATTAGTATCGTATTTTGAATATATTTTATATAAAATAAATAAAAAGATTTTTTTTTAATTTGAAAATTTCTTATATAGATTTTATTTGATAAAGCAAAAGGTTTGTTTAAAAAGGTTTCTACTTTCTTCAAAGTATTCATCTTCTATGGAAAATTAATCAATTTTTTGCATTTTATAGTAAATAAAAATAAACTCTTTTTTTAGTAAAAGATTCTTGCTAACTGTTTATCATCTGTTATTTATATTATTATCAAAAAAAGAAATTTTTTATAAATTGAAATGTCATGGAAAAGAGTTTGATTTTATTTTATTTATTTATTTATTTTTTATAATGACTGATGTATATCTTGTTTATTGAAATATTGTTATAAGTTCTCTTATATATTTTGCAACAAATGTTGAATTCTATTTATTTTCTAAATTACTTAATATAGAAAAACTGCCTACCAGTCAGCTTGTTGCCCTTCATGTCTTCTATATTATTAATGCCAAAGCCTTAATAGCATAGATAAAAATCAACATGTCAAGATACAATAGAATTATTGTATAAAACTACTTTAGGCAATAAGTTTTATTATAAATATATCTTAAATATTTTTGGATAGCAATAGAATAGTGAAAATTAAATAATTTATTCAGTTACAGGTAATAATAAAAAATTTATTTTAATAAATTGAAAATTGATTGAGAAGAATTTTTATTTATTAATATAAACTTTTTTCTTTTTTTAAAAATAAAATTTTTTTATTTCTTAAAATCACAAGTTTATACTGTAATAATTAACAATTTCAAATATAGGCTAACAATAATTTTTTATATATTATTTTTTCTATAAAAATTAAACATTTAATAACAACGATGAATTAAAACATTTTATAAACAATTCTTACATGGATTTTATTATTCTGCTTTACAATTAATTAAATTACAATAATTTTGTTTGTATTCAGGAATTCGGTCTTTTCACTAAAGAAATTTGCAGTAACATGATATAATATACTTCCGAGATGAATCAATCGAAAAAGTAAAAAAGAAGAATGTTTTTTCAAAACCCGACGACTGTGTATAACTAAAACGTATTTAGATAATCAATTCCATACTTTTTGCATACTTCAATTGCTTTAATATTTTTTCTCTTAGCCGCCGCTCTCAAATAAGTAGCTCCTTTTTCTGAGTTTTTCTCGACACCCGTTCCATTGTAATAAGCACCTCCGACATTATACATGGCCTCTACATTGCCACTGTCTGCCGCTGATGTTAGATATCTGATTGCTTCATTGTAGTTGGTTTTTACGCCCTTTCCCAACCAAAGACAAGTTCCATATCTTAGTTGTCCTTCAGGTTTTCCGTTGTCAGCAGTTTCTTTAAATAGCTGGGCTGCCCTTACGAGATTTTCTTTTGCATTTTTCTTGAGTTCACCAATTTCAGAATAATAGAGATAATAGCCAACCCAATACTTTGCAAGCATATCTCCATTTCCAGCATGATGAGAGAAACACTCCCAGGCCTTTTGCTTGTTTCCCCTTTTATGTTCATTAATTGCTTCTTGAACACTCATGTGTCCAGCAGAAATGTTACAAATGTCTAGCTCAATGACAGACTCTCCATCTGATTCAATTTCAATTACTGTTTGTTCTTTTTGTGACATTGTGTACTTGTGAAGCTTATTAAAAATTACAGAAATCGCTGGGCGATCATCTGGATCAAATTGTAAAGCTATAGAAACAATAAAATAGAATTAGTTTTAGAGATCTTATTATTTTCTACAAATAATTCGGCAATACTTACCATCTCCTACAACGCTTTTCCATATCTCAGGTGTACCATGAGATAAGGGTTCACGTTTATTTTTAATTACGTGATCGCGAATAGTGGCAAATTCGAGATCACTATTTGAATATGGCACTTTTTCTTCGGCGATTTCCCATAAGAGTACTCCAAGACTAAAAAATGATAAAAATATTCACCAATTAATGTGCATGCCTTAGAACCAAATATATATTGCAACAAAAAATTACCTGTAAATTTCGCATTTAATATCATAAGGTTGATCTTCACCTTTTATTAGTTTTTCGGGAGCCATATATCTCATGGTCTCGAGGCTTGTTTTAATGTTCCTTGTGATTTCATTGAATCTTCGGCTCAAACCAAAATTAGCAACTTTTACTTTTAGATTCTTGTCAACTAACATATTAGCACCTCGCAGATCATGGTGGAAAATCTGAAATAAATAAGTATGCATTTAATCATAACAAAATAATTAAAGCCCACGAGTTCTTTGAAAATTTACCTGCACGGCGTTTAAAAATATTAGGCCACGGCAAATGTCTAAAGCGAAGTCGAATTTCTTCTCCCACGAAAAATTTGGATGTTTTTCATAAAATTCGAGTAAATTTCCATTCTCCATCCACTCGGTCACCAAGAAATAACACAATTCTTCCTTTACAATACCATAAAATCTAATTATGTGTTGTGATTGACTTAAATGTTCTAGGATTTTAACTTGTTGGCAAATCTCTTTTTCCGATTTGGAGGAAGTGATAGTAAATTCCTTGAATGCTACTTCTTCGCGAAAAGGATTATATCTCTTCGTGATTCTTTTCCTATGACCGCTAGAGGCTTTCTCATACGATTTGGCATTTAACAATTGAAAAGAGCTGATCGAATCATGTGAATCAAATTCATGTTTGCGAAAACCGAGATTCATTTTAAGAACTTGCGGAATTTTTGATGAGATATTCTGATTAGACGAATCAGCAATGCCACCTTTGACGCGGGAAAGAAACTGAAAAAAATAAATTAATCGGAGTTAAATTTTTCATATTCACTGTGAGAGTACTCAAATGAATAGCGATAGATTTACCTCTTTAACTTCTCTAACATCTTTTGCGACCATTCTCAAAGAGGACCTTAAGTCATGACTGTATTGTAAATCGAGCGTGAATTTTAAGGATTGCATATAGCCCTCGAATTCTGTAGTAAGGTCTTTAAATTTTTGTTCAATCAAACTCCCTTGGAGCCATACTTTCAGTCTCCCAAGTTGCGATATTTCGGAAACATATTGTTTAATTTTTTTCATACAGTGTACGAATTCTTTAAAGAGTTTAAAATTTTCTTCCATGAAGAGATTTTCATTTCCTCTTAAATCCCTTACCGCAGACATCGCGGCATTGACTCTGACAGTGAAGAATCCGCAAATTTCCTTATTATGTTCAGCTTTATTATGTAAAGAAACGATTTCTTCGCCGACCTTAAAAAATTTTGCGATCACTTCTCCATAAGGTAGAGCAGAGGAAAGAGCATCAATGACGGCACCGGATCCGCGCATAACTTCTTCAACATATTCAACCATAGGAGCACCCTCACTAGACTCTGGATCATTGATTGTTAATTCCCCTACTTGATTGCTAACGTTACTAATTATTTCTGCCGTTCGTTGTCTTTGAAAAAGACGATCATTGGATCTCTCTCCATCAGAAATGCAGGTAAAGGAACGTTTTAATCCTTTATTTACTTGATCCTGGTCACAAGCGGAACATATGGGATATAATTGTCTACCACAACAAACGCAAGCAACATACTGAACACAATTCATTGTGAAATTTTAGATGAAGAATGATTTTTAGGAAGAGGTTATATTTATGTATTTATATATTTGAATGTAATTATATCATGCGAGTTTGTGTGATCCTGGGAGACAAAGTATTAGATTAGCTTTTCTTTATCATTTCTTTAAAGAAATAATGAATATTCCGTACAGAATTGTAAATTGGCTTAAGCCAATAAGGTCTAAGTTGTAACCTTACCGTTCATTTATTCTAAAAAAGGGAAATTTCCCTGCATCCAGACTAAAGTTCCAAGAATTTTCCTGATCAATGTACGCCCAAGTTCTAGAAAGGGTTATGAACCCACATATGCTCATAATCTACTGTAACACAATATACAATATATATCACCAAATTAAATTCTTTTAAAGCCTTATTCTCAGTCTTCTAGGTTACGATATTTTGGAAATATACTAATTTTTTGCATACAGTATATAAATTATTTAAATATTTTAAAATAATGAAGCCCCCGCAAATTTCTTTATTATGCTCGCTCTATTATATAAAAAAATAATTTCTTCGCCTATATTGACATATTTATATATTTAAACGTAATTCTTTCATGCAAATTTTTGCGATCCCAGAAGACAAAGCAATTCGATCTAACTTTCTCCATTCTTTGAAGAAACAATAAAAATTCTTGCATATCGGCTTAAGCCAATAAGGTTTAAGTTGTTCGTTTATTTTAAAAAAGGAAATGCCCCGATTTATGAGATTACATGTGTTCATAAAACATATCAGAAAGCACTATATACAGTATATCTTATGATAATGGCATATAAGTTTTGTAACAATCTTAAATTTAATCTTAATAAAAAATATGTTGTACTTACGTATTTTAAATGGTTAATAAATAACTATGTTTATAGATTTAATGGCCTATTTTATTTTGAAGATGTTTAATATAATCCATATCAAAAAAATTTTTTTTTTGATAAACATCAGTTCTTAATTATATGTATATACTAAGATATAATTTTGAAAAAGAACCTATATCTCTCATAATACATGAGTTAAATGCTAGTTTACCAAAATATCTATCTAAACTATATTAAAAAAGAAAATTTAAAACTAATATACTGTCTAGATAGTTGCACGACAGACTATGCAATTTTTAGTGAAAGATGAGAAAAAGAAATAAAAAAAAAAAGAAATTAGATACATATTAATACTAAGTAAACAACTTTTCATATCACAATTTCAGCTCACACAGTTATGGGGACAGAAAGGAGCTAACATGGGTATGTACTTTCTAGTAAATGCTCCAAAACTGTAATCTTTGGTTGATACAGACTATCAAATCTAGAGGCTTCAAAGGTCAAGTGGAACATGACTCCAAAATCTTCTAGTAGATACTTCAAAAAATTCAGTTAACTTAAGCTGCCAAATCTAGGAGCAAAAATTGCCAAGCAGGACGCAACTTCTACATACTTGGTAAGCTGTCAGTACTGCTATATCTAGCACACATACATTAGTATCCATATAATTGTTCTCTTCAAAGTTATTTATTTGATATTAACACGTGATAGATTATTGGTGGTGGTATTATTGTTGTTATTATTGTTGATGTTATTGTGATAATCAATGGTACAATTTGGTGAGTTGTGATTGATTAGAATATAATGTTGATCTTTTGATAGGAGTAAGCTGATTTCGGTTTTTTGTTGTGAAAAGAAAAAAAAATCAAGATGTTTCTATATATATGAGTGAAAAAGATGTCAAACCAAAGGTCTTTCTCTATATAGCCTTCATCCACAAGGTGTCTAGTCTTGAAAAATTCAACCAAGAGTCTTATCCTTATACAGCTTGAGTCTTTACAACCAAACTTTTAAAATTGACTCATATGTAACAGGTCTTTAGAATATATAAGACTTATTGTATTGGTATTGACAGAAGTAATTCTTTATCTTGAAGAAGCAGAGCTAGTTTTTCATCCAATAAATCCAGGATTTGACTTTCCGCCTATAACATCTGGCTCTACTTAGCCTATAATGAAAGGGGACAACTAGTCTACTTCTTTAGAAAAGAATTTTTATTCTCAATAGTGATAAAGAAAGGAAAAAAGTTTTTTTTTAAAGGAAAAAATAACTTGACAAGGAATCCAAACTTGTCTCGTTAAAGTTTCCAAAAAGGAAAATTTTTCAAAAATTTAAGGGAACGGGAAAGAGTTATTTAGATTATTAATGGAAAACCCTTTGTGGAGCTATTGGTTTTTTATCTAATAATTATTATAAACTTTATATATAATATATATTTTTATGACCTATGGGTCTATAGCTCAGTGGTAAAGCTTCATAGGTTACCAGGTGAAGGTCTAGGGTTCAACCCCACCTGGTTACAAAAATTTATCACCTTCATGATTGGTTGACCGGCTTCCA